GAGCCACAGTCACTGGTGGCTCAGCTTCTTTGCCGGTGAAACAGTGGTTCCAAAGGATTCTAGACTTCAAAATACCTGATACTATATGGCTATTCAGATTGATGGGCTTTGAGACAAGTTATATCATTATGAGACTTGAAAAAGGATTAGTCCACACACAAGGACTTGACACCTATACATGTATAAGGAGAATCATGCAGTTCAGACATTCTCCATCCCTGAAGTTATCAGTGGAATTACCACCACCGTTATAGAGAAAACATGCCATGACAGAAGCTTCTATTTTGAATGCAATGTGATTATTTGCAGCGTAGGCACAGTGGGTTTATCTAGCTAGAAGAATACAAAGTCCAATTTGATGAATATGGGCCAAAACCAGACTTACTTAATTCAGGAGGATGACAGAAATTAGAACACAGAACTCAAAGCTTAAACAGCTGATATTAAAAAAATGCAGAGGAGAGTAAATATTGTATATCAAAACAGAAAACAAATTAGACCAAAACCAGTCACCAGAAACACCTGCAGATGTGCCAAAGTAGCGTTTAGCTGTATCATAGAGGTGTAAGTGGTTTGCTGAAGACTTCCTTTTCTCTCCAGTGTAGGACCATTAGTGACAAGACTTGAAACATTGTCATCCTATTCTAGGATGACAAACAACTTCTAACACACCGGTACATTACCGTTACAGAAAACAAAGTTTCAGGATAAAGTTTCAAGAAGGCAACATTCTTCTCTGAACTACCCTGAAACACTACAAAGGTAAGATGAAGGAAAATGAGTGCTACAACTAAGGTTTAAAGTGGTTAAGAACTAGACCCAGAGTGGCTGATGCGAGACAGCATGTCAAGAGAAAGGTGAAAAAAGTGACAGAAAACAAATGGAATGTAAGGAAAAAACAGTGAAATATTATGCCTCAAATTCCTCCAAGTGCCTGTACTTTGGGGTCCTCATTTGGAGAATGTAACATTTTGTTTTTTCCATGGAGCTAAGAATCATTTTTCCTTCCCCTTTCTACATCTTTGTGCTGCCTTTGGCATAACATAGAAAACAAAGTTAATAACAAAGAAAGGACTAGATTCCTTTAAAATGTTTTATTGTCAATTGTAATTCAGCTTTAAATGGACTCTTGTCAGTTAGGGAATTGGTCTCAATTATACTTTTTTTTTGAATGTGAGAACAGTATGAACTACAAAATATGACTATCGGCATTGTATGAGCTGTCCTATGGGATCTCCCCTTTCTCCATTCCACCCTCTTTGGAATACTTTTGTTGTTATGGTACCATACCTCAGAATTGCTGTTTATCTGCAGTCTCTTCTAGCGGCAAGGATTGGAAACAAAAGAGGAAGGAAAAAAATCTCAGCTTCACAGCTTTCTGTGTGCTTAGGGCCACATGCATTTTCCCCTTTTGCTGTCTTCTACCAATCAAATTTTTAAAATATATACAATGTCTGCTATTGTATTGAAATGTCTCAGCTCAGTCCATCACAGCTAATACTAATTTTAGTCTTCAAATAAAGGTGAATGCTTTGGCTCTACTATGTACACACAGCTCCTAAAAAAGCCTCAAAATTCACTTACAAGTATTTGTACTATTTTAACATTGTCTAGAGAACCTAGTTTCTGTAGACTATGTGCAGATGTAGGTGCTACCTATATTTGCAAGACCTTTGATCAACATGACTTTCACCACAAGCCAAGGATAGTTCATAAGAGCAATAGAGGAAGTCTGATCAATCCTTGGTCTATGAGACAGACTAAACATAATTTAAAGAAAAGCATGGTTTTACTACTCAACACAAATGTTTTAAAGGATGAAGCATTTCCTAGACCCTCAGCTCTTAAAAAGATGTATTACATTGATAGAAATTCCAATATAATACCAAGAATGATCATATTAAATTTCTAAAAAAACACTGGAGTCATAACAAAAGGTACGGTAAGAAGCTGGATGATTGGACTAGTGATATATATACTACCATAATGCTGAAAGAAGCAAGGTACAGATCTAAAAGACTAAATCCAGCTAGGAAACAGTAATTACAGTGGAGAATGTCATGCCTAAGTTTAGAGAGTATTTCTAACAATGCAGTAATAGAAGTATGAAATAAAGGATTAGAAACACTAGAAACACTCCAAATTTTTCAGCTTTGGAAATCTGATATATTAGCACTTCCAAAAATTTTATCCTAAGTTTTCCACCAAAATATCTCAACACAAAGAATACAGAACATGCATCTTTAGCCTTTGCATTGTCCGTTCCACAGCTACGTAACTTGTATTTTTAAGTACCTGCAATGACCAAAAAATCATGATCACGTTTGAATTGTATTCACGATGCTGTCCTTAAGGGTGCAAGTACTCAAAATAGAAAGTCTGAAGTTATCCAGCAGACCAAGAAAATACTGCCTTGAATGCCAAGCAGAAAACTGATGTAATTGGGATAGAGTTGGAAGTGTGTGGACTATGGACATTAAAAGTGAGGTAGTTGGGACCAAGTAAAAGAATTAATGGAGTAGCATAAATAGGGTATTGAATGAGTTAACCTTTTACTTCCTTACTTTCTTTTGTTTGTGTTGGCATATAGGAAATCTATCAGCTTCTAGTTAAGTTTGCTAAAGTCTGAGTGTGTGGCTAGGTAGACAGCAAAGTAGACAAATACAAGTGTAGTATACATTATTACAGAGCATAAATAACATTGGCTAAAAAAGCTAAGACAGCTTTGTTTCATATATCTCAAAGTAGAAACAGAAGCACTATATAGTATAATATGATACACTGCAAAGTAAATTGAAGAATTGTGTGCAATTTTAGTTCAGTAGGACCCAATAGTACTTGTAGACATGTTTAAAGTAGTTTATGATGCCTCTCATGCCAAGATATACAAGGCATTCTGTTCATAAGAAGAGGCATGTAGAATAGAAGTGAGACATGGACTGGGCTGATCCACATCAACTGGAAGATTAAGAACCTTGCTCACTCTATGCAGAGGAGGAAGAGTCTGGAGACATTTGCTGCATAAGGATAAAATTAATTTGGAGAACGACTGACATCAGGTTTCAAACTTCTTAGAAACTGTAGAAAAGATAATGCGTGCTAGAGTAAATGAGAACACTGGGAAACAAAGAGGTAAGAACAATATATAATACTCTACATATACTGAATGAGAGCACAGGGGAACTGCAACAGCAAATAGGATCTGTTGAGAAATATTCCAAACCAATTATTAAATATTTAAGGGATAAGGTACCTAGAGGTTGATGCCTGTCAAGTTCTTTGCCACAACAACATCCTAAGCCAACACAGGGTAAATACTTTGTGATCTTCATCTGAAAGTGAAAAACATTCCCATGGATATCTGCATGGTTATGGTTAAATAATTGTTTAAAAGAACGATGAAATGCTTAGCAAGCTAGCCTCAGTAGCTGACTGCTAAGATATCATCTTGCTCTTCTCATCAGTTCTGTTCTTGTCACTGGTATACTCAGAATACATATTGCTCTGATTGCTCTCATTTGATACTCTGCTAGTCTGAAGCAATCAACTTCAGTGTTTCTTTTTTCCCCCCAAATCTGACCAAAAAACAGGCTTTCCCCCTTTGACTGCTAGCAAAGGGAAGCATGGTAATGGATATGTATATATTGACTAAAGATATTCAAGAGAGCAAAGAGCAGAGTAGAGAGTAGTCACACTGCAGATACCTAATAAGGGAGGACAGTCAAATTCCCCATATCATCAGTAAATAGGCAGGCTCCTTTTGAGGTTCTCTTAGGGGAATAAAATTATCCTCTTGAACAATTTTGAAACATTTCTTTCTGATTTCTTGCTCCCCTTCCTACTCCTCCCAATCTGCTGCTGCAAACCTAAAGAAGAGTCATTGCTAGTTCTTTTCGCCCCTGAATTGGATCACAACACTGGATTTTTTTTATTTAATTATTATTATTAATATAAAAGAAGAGGTCCAGGTCATAGAAGATGCTGAATGCTCTCAGCTTGAGAACTCTGTAGATCAGACAATCACTTGTTAGCTGTACAGAAACAAGTATTTCTGGATTAGTCTGATATCTCTTTCCTTCTGTCTCTTAAGCTGACCTCCCCACCCCCTGCATCTCCTCAGCCTGTTTTACCCACTTCACCATACAGCCTCTTTTCTAGCTTCTCTCCTGAGCTCCACATTCTTGAGTGTAACAGCCCCCATGTTCCTTCCTTCCCAGGACAGCTGGGAAATAATGCATGACTACTGTAGTTTTGGGTTTCCTTCACTCAAAGTTCAGTCTTAATAGTAAGAGTGAATGATATCATGGCAGCGTCAAAGACTGTCCAAGAGACCCTTTGAATCAGAGTGATACAGCCAGTTCCCCTCCCCTGTCAAGGCATGGTGAGATGCTATACACTCCACTATATCACTTTTTGGCATTGTTCTGAAACACTGTGGCAGAGCTTCCTCACAAACAGCATACATTTTAAAAGTGCCTTTTTAAAGGATGAAGTCATTTCTAAAGAAAACAATAAATTTCACACTACATATAAAATAGAGTAGGATACAGGTGTTTTAAAATAAGCCTATCAAGACAATTTACCATTAGACAAGTAAAACACCAAGAGCTTCATGAAAGAAGTAGTAGGATAGGACTTTAGCTGAAGACAATATTTTAACAGACACATTTTGAAGATAATACAATTAGAATTAAGCCTGCTCTTAGACTTGTGTCAGTCTGCTACAGTAGCTTATTTCACACTTGCTTATCTCTGTGATAGTATGGCTTATATAACATTAACAAAAACTTAAAGGAATAATAGCAAACGTAAATACAAGTTGAGAACTGTCTCATCTAATACATGATTTTATACATCAATTAGTTCAATGATTAAAATAAAGAATATGATTAACATTTTTCCTTCATCCATCTTCATTTTCTAAGCAGCTCAGTTTAAAAAATAGTGCTGTTTCCTATTCATTATAGTGAGTTTTGGATGTTAAACAAAGACAGACCAACCTTAAGCCTTTTGATAAATATGATGCTGCGGTAACTGCAGCATTCACTTTGTATCCCATTTCTCCAAGTTCCTGTCAGCCAGATGTCACTTGCAATGCAAACACTAGAAAAATATGAAATAATAATTTCATACATCATCTATGTGAGCACGAGCCAGTCAAACATTCAATACAAATTCAAACTGCTACTACACATAAAGCAAATATCATCCAAATAATATTTAGAATGATTGAAAGGATTTTGATTTGGAAGTGTATTCTCTTAAGCTAAGTGGTCCCCAAGACCATCTAGAAAATTCAATTGTTTCATTTTAAAATGTTTTCTGCCCAAAATTATATCAAATCCTAATGTCTCAGAAGAAACACATGGGATTGGATTGCTGACTGGGCGCCTGATGTCAAAGAGGAATCTAATTTTCCAATGGCATTTCCTCATACTGTCTCACCAAAACACAAAATTGATAAAATTTTAATGGATAATTTTCAGAGCAGGACATTACCCATTGTGCTGGGAAATAGCGCAGGAGAACACCATGTAGCATCAGAAAGGCAATGTATCAGAAAACAGTTTGAATAAACATTAATACACAGAACAAGTCTTACATTCTGCAATTTTTCTCTTTCAGGTAAAAGCAGAATTCAGAGGGTATATTTTGCAGTAGCAGGACCATCTCTCTCCCCTTCCTTTTCCAGGACACTTTTTTTTTTTAAAAAAAGTGATCTCTTAAAAGCATAGGTGCAATACATCTCTTGAAAGGGCACTGTGTTAATCTATTACTGTGGTGACAGTCATAGTGAAATTCTGGCTGAAATCTATTGCGAAAGTCATATTGTCTTCACTGAACATTTCACGTAACAAAATGTTCTGTTAAGCATCTGTACAGCAAAGACTGTAGTAATGAAATAAATATCACCCTTCTGGATCTTCTGATAGGACAAGGTACTGCAGGCATCAAACATAACACCTATAGCCATAACATAATATAAGGTGAAAAGTACTAAATGCTACTCCCGGTGACAAAAGTTAACTGAAGAGCAAGGTACTCATTAAATGTATTATATCACCCAGTAATGATGCAAAATGTTTATGGCAATCTGTTATTTAAAGTGTGTTCTTCTCTGACTAATTTTCCTTTCTATGAAGTCTGGTCATTAATCATGTAAAATTTGAGACATATTTAGAAAATACAACTGGACAACTAAAAAAAGTCAACTGAAAAGAAGATCTTACTAACCTTTGTGATTTACTCGAAATTAGAAAGGAAGCATAGCAGTGAAATATATGGTAAACAGGACTGAGCCAGCTTCCCATTTATTACTAGCTGGGTTTTGGCATCTGTATATATACTCAATATTTACAGATGATTGTTTATGCTGATATAGAGAGGAAGAACAGCATTTATGGTTAGGAGACCTATATCTGCCTTCATCAAGACTTCAGCATTTAAAAGCTTTAATAAATATCTAAGTAAAACTTGCAGAACATTAAAAAGACCACAACAAAGGAGATCACAATGATGAAAGTGGAGAGGTTTAGTCTTGTGGGGAAAAAAGAGGCTTGTCCACACCACATGCCAAGTCAGTCATAGGTTAGGTTGCATCTTTCATAGCCATCTGAAAAAAAAAATCACTTAAGTCCTCAAATAGGTTAAAGATTAGGGCTGGTTATGTTGCCAGAGATACCTCTCTAGCTACTGTTTTCTTTCAGAAACGCTCAGTTTTACTTCACTCCTCAGAGACCAGAGCCATTCTGAAGAAATGAATGTTTTTGGCAAGCTTCTCTTGGTTTACAGCACGCTCTCTTCCAGTTAGCTTTGGTATGAGACTTCTCTAGATCTCTAGTCAGTAACATGCTTTTGGCACAATGCAAAAGCCATATTAGAGCTTGATAGGACATAGCATCTCCAGACCCTGTCTATAACTGGAATACAACCAATTTTCTTAAGCTATAGCTACTTTTCTTTCCCATGACCCATCAGTCAGTTACACATTCACCCAATGCTCTCATTTCTGCCGCAGCCTGCCAGATTGCCACACACATTCCATCCAGTGTGCCAGTCACCTTTGTTCTGCCTGCAGCTCACAGGAGTTCCCCCTCCTAGGGTTAAAAACAGAAGGGAAGGGGGGAAAAAAGCAAAACTGAACTGGATGCTTTTTCTTCAGTGTGAGGAAGCAAAACAAGACCCCTCCCATTCTTTCCCCTCCTTCTTATCCCTTTCCATCCTCTGCAGCAAGAAAGGAGCTTCCATTCTCTCTATTCTTCAGAAGTAGAAGAGAACTGTTTGCATTGCACAGAAATTCAACTGGGAACGATATCCAGTGCAGGAAAGGAAGTATTTCCAGAGAGGATTGAAATTCTCAGAGGGTTGGTAAGATCTGCATTGTCTTGATTTTGCTGCTCCCAGTAATGAAATCTAAACAGACTTTTATTAAGAAGTCTTTTCACACCTCTTCTGCTCTCAGCAGCTGAGCTCAGCACAGAGATAGACAATAACCCAGTAACTTTAAGCAGCTTTCTGTGCCTCTCTCAAATGGAGCATGCATTGGTTACCTAACTGTGCATGAGTACAATGCAGCACAGGCATCAGCTCCTGCCAAAATTGTATTACTGAAGGAAATTGCAAAATTGACAGATTTGCCATCCTAAAGGCATAATGGTCTAAGAATGAAGAGGTGAGTGAAACAGCCAATTCCCCCAGACTTTGTTCTGAATCCTGCACTGATAGCCCCTGGTAGTTCAAAGGCCCAGAATAACTAGTTAATTATCAAACTGACTTATGAGTTCACTTCCAGCTTTGTAAACACCATTAAACTTTTTTATATTTTATTTTAACCAGAGAAAAGCACACCAAAATCACACTGTATCTATCTACACCTTTCTTCATTTATAGAAGAAGGGTCTGAAACCCATAGTTTTATCTAGAGAATAAGGTCTGCCCCTTCTCCTCAGGAGTATTTCAATTCTCTCATTACCAGATGAATCTTTATTTTCTATTTCTCTTAATGCTTTGAACTCTCTAAGCAAGCAGTTTAGATTGGTATCTGTCCAGGAGTCCAAGTTATTGTGGTCATACTCAGAATACCTAAAACAAAGTGGGCAGACACTGGAGCTAGTGGAGAGAAGCACGCACAGCAGAATTGCTACAGAGGCTGGTAGCAGTCCAAGTAGCTGGTGCATCTGTGTGCACTAACAACAAATTTTGCCTCAACTCATTGACACACTCTGTTGTACAACTTGCCAGTGATTTCTTACAGCAGAGTTCATCAGATAAAATCTGAAGTTATCACAGTAACCTCTTCACACAAGAGAGAAGGAAAGCTGTACACAGAAAGACTGTGTTGGTTTCCACAAACTGGACTCAATGAGACATTACAAGGATAAGAGATACAATAAATTTTTCATTGCAATATTTAACCTTGAAAATGTGCATTTAGGCATAGGTTGATCTTACACCTCTATCCTCTTTGTTTAAAGGCTGTTTGAATACAACTGCACCTCCAAGACAAAATATTTTTATTACCTCGTGTTCACACTGTACTTTGAGGAAGCAGAACATTATCTAAGTGCTAAGCACTTTTAACATCATCCTCTTCTATTTTTTCCTCTTTCAACTTTTAAAGTGAATGTAGTGCTTGTGGAAGTTGTTGGATTGACAGCCCTAAAGACAGAAGTGCAGCACACCTGCTGAGCCAAACAGAACTAAAACGTAGAAAAACCTCTCACCAAGTTCTAAATGCATGCTTCATTTAGTTACTATTATATGACTAGGTTTAATACTAATACTGAAAAACTGTCGCTCCTATTTATTTGTTTTAAACATTGGTTCAATCTCCTTATACTCTACTTTCAGAAATAATTTCTTACTGACGTGCAGCACTCCAGAGACTGCTTCCCCGTCTTCAAAATCCTACAATAAAATGGGATACTGTTGAAGTGTAACTTCAAGCTATTGCAGTCAGGCACAATGCTGCATCCCAGCATTCACTTTGCACATCACAGAAAGGTACATTACCTAGTCTCATAGTAGTACTAACCACACTAACTGCTTGAGTACAGCAAGCTACTCTATGTTATTGTTATATATGTTATATAATATGTTATATTGTTATATATGTTATATGTTATATAAGGCCAAGTGCTGGGTCCTGCACCTGGGGCGCAATAACCCCAAGCTGAGCTACAGACTGGGAGGGGAATGGTTGGAAAGTTGCCAGGCAGAGAAGGACCTGGGAGTGATGGTGGACAGTCGGCTGAATATGAGCCAGCAGCGTGCTCAGGTGGCCAAGAAGGCCAACAGCATCCTGGCTTGCATAAGAAGCAGTGTGGCCAGCAGGGCTAGGGAAGTGATTGTCCCCCTGTACTCAGCTCTGGTGAGGCTGCACCTCAAGTACTGTGTTCAGTTTTGGGCCCCTCGCTACAAGAAGGACATTGAGGTGCTCGAAAGAGTCCAGAGAAGGGCAACGAAGCTGGTGAGGGGCCTAGAACAAGTCCTACGAGGAGTGGCTGAGGGAGCTGGGTTTGTTCAGCCTGGAGAAAAGGAGGCTCAGGGGCGACCTTATCGCTCTTTGTAAGTGCATTAAAGGAGGGTGAAGAGAGGTGGGGGTTGGTCTGTTCTCCCATGTGCCTGGTGACAGGATGAGGGGGAACAGGCTAAAGTTGCACCAGGGGTGTTTTAGGTTGGATGTTAGGAAGAACTTCTTTACTGAAAGGGTTGTTAGACATTGAGCTGCCCAGGGAAGTGGTGGAGTCACCATCCCTGGAAGTCTTTAAAAGACGTTTAGATGTAGAGCTTAGAGATATGGTTTAGTGGGGACTGTTATTAGAGGTTGGACTCAATGATCTTGAGGTCTCTTCCAACCTAGAAATTCTGTGATTGTCTAAATCTGAAGTTCAGAGACTTTCAGTGACAGATCTGTTCCTTTGGTTGTCCAAGAAAGATCAGTAATCCTAACTAAGTCAATGCTGAAGCTACAATTCAAGGTTTCCTGATATAGGAGGCTTTTTGTTTTGATTTAAACACCCTAGATTTCCAGTAATGCACTTTTAACTACTAAAGTTGCTTTCCCCCCCTCAAATCCTTTTTGGGAAACCTAAAGACACGACTTACCTTCCGAGAAAGATCTCTGTACAAATATATTTATGTCTCTTGTAAAGCTTCTCCTTGATCTCAGCTAAGATCACCACTCCTTCAACAATACTACCATACCCACTCCCTTACAAAAGGACTTTCTGAATCAAACAAACATTTACTACCCAGGCACTTTACACTTTTATCCACTTTGTCTGTTTGCCTCCAGGTGGGACTGCTTCAGATTTATAGGAAAGGATTGATCCCCATTAACTACAAAGAGCACATCAGATGCAGAACACCTGCAGTGTGTAGAGCTGTTACTAACACCTCCTGTTTCAGATTCTTCTAGAATATTCCTTCACTTGTCTTGACAGGTCCTGAGAAGCAAATTTTATGCCTGGAACATCTTCACTCCTGAGTAACTTCAAGACCAGACATTTACAGAAAGTCATTCCTTAGCATTTCCAGTTACTTTTCAGTTCGGGAAGTTTCTCAAGGTTTCTTGTCAGGGCAGGCTGGTCTTTTATGATTTTCAGCCTGCAATGCTGCTCCTTTCTATTTCATCTTGACTTAATGTCATTAGTCTTCTTTCATAGAAACCTGAGTATTCTTTTCCTAATTTATCTAGATGGTATCCTGACAGCAGCTCCCTTGATCAAACTTTGCCATTTATGTCTCTCCCCCAGTTAATCATTCTCTGAAATGAGATTTATAGTAAAAAAGAATTAAATCAAGTCTGACTTCCTTCAAAATTCTTGACTTTCTGGGATTCTAGATGCTCACTCAGGCCAGGCCCCTTGGAGACACTGTGCTTTCTCTCATTTACTAAACAGGCTGTTAGGGCTATTTTCCTATACTGGAGGGCCATGGCAGTCTTTGTCATTGGTGAAGCTAAATAAAGGCTTAAAGGATACAGGTATGATACTGAGATATCTTGCTGTTTGATAGTAATCTTAACACGTACCCCTCTTTGTCTATTTCTGGTCGTGTATTTTAAAAATTGAATCTGGAGGCAGAGTCCACATGGTAATTCTTCTTGTCTGCTTCTTGAAAACAAGAGTTCTCTATTATGTAAAATATCTCTGCAGAAGTACAGGTTCCCAGATGTCCTCTTTCCTTCAGATCTTGATTTTGTATCACTCCATGTGTGGGCATCAGGTAACTATTGATTTGTTGTAAAGAGATATATACATATAAGCTTTTTATAAATGTGGTCTACATCTTTTGTTTATCTGTCTCATATCTCTTCAGGTCTGTTTTTGAATAAAAATCTCCAGCTTGTGTAACGCAAGATGATCCATTTCATACAGGTCAAACCTGTTCTATGCTGCCAGCAGATTTCTGCAAGTTGAATTCTTAGTCCCTATGTGCAAAGTGTCTGTGGCCTGGTCCCCAAAAGTCTAAAAGAACAACTGTCACCAGCATCTCTATTTCTCTGACCAGTGAAAATCTCTACTTTAAGAGTAAAGCTCATCTATGAAGGAGGTGAAACTTTTCATCATCTTGAGATGGTAAAATGAACTGCCTCGAGGGAATAAAACAATACCACAATAATTACCACCTTCCCCCTCAATGAGAAGCACATTTCTTTATAACTTTGCTGGCATAAGCATGGATATAAAATGAAGCTCACCCTTACTTAAACAAGAAGTGTTATTGACCAGCTTCTCCCAGCTTTGGGAAAAGCAGAAATTTAAAATGACACACAGTAGATGTGTAGTGGTATTTGTTGGTGCAAGGCCAGCAAGTGCTGAGGTTTTACAGAGCTCAATACATCACAGAAATGTGTGTGTGTACAAAACAGTTGTACGTCTGTACAACAAGTATGCAGATCTACAAGTGTACAGAAAAGTTAAAAAACAAACAGAACAAAACAAAAAACCTACACTAGGACTTTTGTGAAATCTCATGTGACAGATCTGCATTAGTGGTTAAGGCAGAAATGATCATCCAGCTTTGCCAAACATCACTGATTTTTACAAGAAATAGGTTTACAATCTGCTAAACTGAAGGCAAATTATCATCCAGTTTCTTATAGTACAAATGTCTGCATTTAAAGTATGTTCTTGTTCTCAGGTCTAAAGCATTACAAGACCAAAATGTTCTGTATCTCATCTCAAATTTTCAAACAATCCAATATCCAGACTATATATAGATATATTCTTGCTGTTCAATCTCTTAAAAATCAATCAATATTAATGTGTCTGCCTTAAACTTTTAAGGTCATTGTCTCCCTTCTGACACCTTTAACTACATCAACATCACATTATATCATTATAGACTCATGAAGCAATGTACTTTTACATTTTTGCAAGATAATGCCTCTTTTGTGTTTCAGTTTTTATCATAATATAAATCTTGAAATGTAATTTGCATATCTTTTGTTTAGCAAAGGAGACCCCCATTTAAGACTTTGTCATTTTAATACATAGACTTAAAAGTGGTTGACTTTTTAAAGAAAAAGCACCAAAATATTCCAATTTATTCTTCAACTGAAGCGGCTGCTGCATCAGTAAATTAGTAAATTCCCTTAACAATACACTTGCTAACAATTATAGTCTGTCTGCCTTGGGCTGACTTGACAGTACGGCTGCCATCTGTTGAGAAGTCCATTCATGGATTTTAAAGGGCTATTTATAGCTTTTTATTTTATACTTTGCAAAATACCTCTTTGCTCTTCACCCTTACTGCCAGTTACTCTGTCTTTCCTGCCCTCTGTTCATCTCTCTTTCCACCCTGCTAAAGAGCACTGGTATATGTCCAACATCGAACTGTCTCTGCACCAGCAGCCACATCACAGCTCCCAGGTGCATTCAATTCTGAGTCAAGCCTGGCCCATTTTTAACGGCTGAGGTGGACAAGCAGAGAGGAGGGAGGACACTTCTGGAAAGGAATGGACAGAAATGAGCAGGATCAATCAAGAAATTCAAAAGCAGCCGTGAAGGAAACAAAATCAACACGATGAATGGGAAAGGGATGCTAGGAGCCCCAGCTCTGGATAGATGGATATTTCATGAATTCCTCCAATAAATAGGGATCCCCTAGGGAAATTCAACACCTGGCAATCTTAGTGGATAGTGGTGCTGCAAATAAAGCATAATGTTCACCCCTCTGGTAAATTCAAGCAATTAAACCCCTTTTAAAAAAAGGCCCTCTTAGGCTTTCTGCCCAGTAAACTCACAGTGAAAAGCAACTTTAATAAATGTTATAAATCTCACCTCTGAGCCAACAGGAAATTCAAATGTTTGCATGTGCAGGAGCCAGGGAGCTGCTGAAACAAAAGGTAAATGTGTATATTAGAATAGGTTATGCCAATACTCTGACTGGATGGTAGTGGAAGCGTCAGGCACAGAGACACAACATTTATTTTATAAGATAAGCACCTTCTGGTGGTATCTCTGATCATTTCTGTTTGTGTCGCACCAGAGTTCTCCTTTCCCTGGGAGTAGACAAATCTGTTTAGCGATGACCTTGCTGGCTTGATGAATTTAGGATTACTTCTTATCATGCAACACTACTGGAAAGTTGTTTTGAGTTTTAATGTTTTGGACATAAAACCAAATACAGAAATGGCAACAAATATCTGTGGTTTGTAAAATGAAAAGATCAAAGAAAAGAGACTGCAGAGAATTTTTGATCAACACCCTGACAAGGGGTGTTAGGTTTAATAAACAGTAAGAATTTTAGGCCATTATGAAGTATGAGATGCAGTCTCAGCTGTGTTTCTAATTTCCTTTCTTGCCTTTACTGCTGTTATATAAAGCTCTGTAGTGACGAAAAACATTTATTGAAAAAATCTGAGTGCACCATTTGGGATTATGTTACTTCATCTGCATGGAGCCAATGAGAAATATTTCTTTCTCCACCCTCCATAGTACCAAAAGCTCTAGGAACATTCTGTGTATGGGACAAAGCACTGGGCAGAGATGCACTTGTGTTAGTGAACGAGGATTTTGTAATTAGGTCTGAAGACAATGATCGTGCAATGCTGCTCATTTTGGCTGTTCTTTTTTTACAGCCATACATAAACAGAACTTTGTGCAAATTCTTTTAAAGTGATTTTAAAACAATACATATTTGGCAACGCATCCTGTGAGAAAGAGGTTTCCTGGAAAATTTTTGGTAACATTGTGTCTATGAAATTATGAATATTATAATTTTGTGTACTGCACACTCTACAGACTTATTAGGGCACAAAAGGCCAGGAAAATTAAGATGAAGAAACGGACAGAAAGCTGGATGGAAATAAGTCATATTTGCTTATTGAGGTATTCATGGGAATCAGAGGAGAGGGATGTTCATTCATCTACTCTTCAGTTTGGGGACCTTTCTGGTGAGCAGAAAGGGTCAGTAAAAGAGAAGAAATTTCCACAGAAATCTCTTCATCAATCTCGAGAAAAGCTGAGAATTCATTATTTTATTACAAGATGGGCATAAGGAACTAGTATGTCTTTGTTTAAATGACTCCATCTGTGGCTTTCCACCTACAGTATTTTCCCTTCGGGGATTATCAAGATTATTAGTAATTATTGCTAATAAGTCATTATTACGAATAATGGTAATTACAGTATCATTTAAAGACCCTAGTCATAATCACTGTGGAAAACAGTGTGAACGTAGCAAGGACCAAGGCTTTGCAACAGCACATGGAAATCTTGTAAGAGAAACTGAATAAGCACAGGGTTACATTCCAGAGAGCACAACACTCACAGCCTTTCATCCCCAAACTGCCTATGGCAGGATCAAATTCAGTATTTGCGCACAGACAAATGACTAACAAATTTTAGCAACAGTTTTTGCTTTAAAAGAAAACAAAAATTAAACTTTTATTTTTTTCTCTTTGATTTCTAGGATTTGGGAGGATAGGTAGAACCGTACAATCCTACCTCTAGCCCCAAGAAGTACTGGTTGTGTGACATTTCTAATTACAGTAAACACTGTGTCTAAAAAACAGTGCAAATCCAGACACAAAATGGATCATGGATGCATGGAGAACAGCTCAGCCGTTACAGATAGTCCACAAGAGGACAAAAAAAGCTTTTAGACCAGTCCAGTTGGCTTTGCCTGTCTCCCTTATGCATCAGGGCTGTAGTTTTTCATTTAACAGATTCCTAAAATGACCAGCAAAGCCCTACCTGTTAAATGTTAATGTTAAATATGTATTCAGAGTGGGCACGCCTCAATTTTCTCAGTTCTAATTTTTTTTTTTCAAGGTTTTATGTCAGGAAAATATACTTTGCCTTTTCTCTTTGCCTCTTCACTTTAGCTTCCTCAATCCTCACCTATCTTGCTTTCCATCTTCACAGTCATGATAGCACTCTTCTAAAAGTACCCTGCTGACAACTTCTGATCTGTTTTTCCACTAAGATAAGCAGAACTGCATTCATAACCTTTTAACTTTATGTATATAACTTTGTAACTTTAGTCTACAATGGAAGTTAAAAACTAAAATTTTGTAAGATTTTATTTTTGAAGGATGGCCTTTTCTCACCTCAACAAGAGATCTGAACATACACATCTGTATGTTCATCTATATTTAGACGCACACATGCACATATGCAGATAGACATATTATATACATATATCATTATAAATGGGGATATGCTTCTGACAAAACACAAAGAAAGCACCTTTCAGGCTCTAAGAAATGGTATTTGCAACTATAATCCAAAATATACCGGAAAAGGTATGAGAGTTTGGACAGTTTTATTTCAAAGACAAACATTTCCCGGTATAACATGCTAGAGCAGGATTTGTTCATGGAGGTCACTGTAAGAAGCTCAGCACTACCTTACAAAAGGTGACCACCAGAAGCTCTCTGCACAGAACAATCTTTCTCTCAGCAGTAGATGAAGAATTGCAGATCAGATCCTCGCAAGTATGTCCATCAAAGTGAAGAAATTGTTTTTGTGAAACTATACTTAAGATCTTAAAAACACTCCAAAAATTAAAGAAGCCAGTTAACCAACCTCTTCATTGCTCTGGCATTATATCTACTTAATTTCAGGTACAATCTAGATGCAGCTGGATTTCCATAAACAAATCCAGGTTCTTGGCTGTCAAACAGTACAGGGCTAAAAAAAAATAAGCATTCAGATCTGGAAATGTCTTAAGAACACCACATCACTGTGTCAAAGCTTATATAACGTATGCAGCAATAGCTAGGTAAGCCAGCTCTGTTATCTTTTCCAACACCTTATTTGCATAGAAAAGTCTACTCTCTGACTCTTTTCTATTGACTAGGCCAAGCAACTATTAGATTAATCTTACCACAAGTAAGGTCCTCTCAAAGGAGGGAAAGAAGTGCATCATGAAAAGTTCTAATCATTTCAGCTACATAGTTTTGGTTTATAGGTTTAGGCTTTTTAACCAGGTTTCCACGAACCATTTCTTTCCTTCCTTTTTTTTTTTTTTTTTTTCTTTTTTCTTTTTACTGGGGTAAGAAAATTTAATTAAAGACCTGCTTTGGATATTAAATTCGTAGGAAAATATTTTGGAATTTTTCATTTTTGACTCATGAAAATTATCCTGATATTACGTGCTCCCACTTCTGTGTGAAATCTCAAGATACTTTTCAAGATTTTCAAGAACCATGCATGATCCTGAAAAGTCAAAATGAAATGCAAAAAATGAAATTGTTGAGAATTAAGCCACAAAGACATTGTAAAGTTTGCACATTTCTAATGACTAATGCAAACTTAGTGCCCTTGTTCAGCATCAGTCATTAAAATGGACATAAGACATTTCTTTGCTTTCTTGCTGGAGGAGAGCCTGTCTACCTTAAATATTTTTGCTGGGTCCTTCAGCATTAAGTTAGTCAGGGAGAGTATGACAGACAAGTTACTATTTCAGGCTTGAAACAGCACCTGGAGGGCCAAGACCTTTCACAGTTTAATAGTGGACAGAGAATCACGGGAGTGATCAGGGTCATGTGGTGGGTGAGGCAATCACTGATACTCAAATATCAGGTGTCACCATGACAGCTGTAATAACCAGGGCTTACTTCCTTCAGCAAGAAAATATCCACAGAATATGGTGCATACAGTGCTGCAATATGTACCTTTTCTACCTTTGTTTCATGCTATAAAAATGTTAACTCCTGAAGGCTCACGGTGCAAGAACAGAACAACCAACTATCTCAACACATTTCAACACATTTTGTATTACATGGAAGTGTGACAGAAGACGAGCTTTTTTAAAAAAATCTTGAGAATTCAGCAGAAAAGTTATCAGATGCTCATTACCGACAATTCATTCCTCTGAGATAAACTAAGTTGGTTACTAGAGGATCCCAAGGAGACAGCTGGCAGTGATGAACAGAACAACATTCAATCCGCAGCAAGTGTACATCATAAAACAGGCGCCATTGGATTAAAAAGTAACCTTAAACTGTTTAGTGTACACAAAGGCAGCCTAGTCAAAACACTTCAACAATGATTTAAAATCTCAAGTTGGAGGCCACTTTCAACCTTCAGGGAAGCCTTCTCTATTCATAAGGAGCTTAACTAATCATAACTTTCCATGACTTATCAGGACTGGATGCAGTGTGTCGCAGCATGATAACTGAGCTCTGGAAATGTAACAAAAGATGCCTTTCTAGTAAAAATAATAGTGAGACTAAACCTCAAATTTTTAATCTTTGAACTTGATAGGGGAAAAACATCCTGTTACTCATTAAGTGTTTCCATTAGCATGCCAGGCAGCTCCTGTTCATGTTACTGAGTGATGTGTAGGGCAGTGTATGCATCAGTAAAAGAAGATTTTGGTCCTGGGAGGCTGCACAGAGTGCATCACAAGGGAACAACAGCTCAGAGCAGACACACTTATTTTTGTAGATACGTAACTATAGAAGTAAGTAAGTCTACCTGACATATCCCTTTCAGCTGACCTAATTGCTCAGTATTAACAACCTGGTGTTTATGAAAACATGTAGCATTTATTTTTTAACATGCTAAATACCCCAGCTGCATGGAAGCTTCAGAACAAGGGTTAAATGGAGCCCAAAAAGGACCAGATTTCTATCTGTATTTTCTTCAGTGTAGTTCCAGATGCATTAAGATCTCAGCAGAGACCTGCAAGTATTATGTACGGCTTGCTTTTATCTTCCAGAAAAAAAAAAAAAAAAAAAAAAAAAAAAAAAGAGAGAGAGAGAAAAAAAAAACAGAAGGAAAGAATGAAGCGGTGCCAAACACTACAAGAAAGGCTTAATAAATAGAGCCCAGGGTTACAATGTTGCTCTTATTTGCCCTGAAATATATCACTGAACTTCTG